TTCAGTAGCACACATCATTTCATTATATGAAAGGCCTTTATACATGCTGGTCTATATGGTAATCTAGGCCTCTTGGGCTGATAAATTTTCCAACACAAGGGCAACTGAATTAGTTACCTCATTTTTATAATTCTTAACCAAAACAACAGTTTAGATTCTAAACAAGATGCTGGTTTGGGCTCATTTTTATTTTAGTGAGATTTACCTGCCAGTCCTCTGAAAGGGTACATAGGTGAGCTATAGTACTCTGAACTCAAAGACGTTATAAGTATTACAGTCTATTCTAAGAAAAAGTAAATTACTAAAATAAGTTCCAAATGTAATTTCAAAACTGAAGTAGCAAGTGGGTGGAAAATGTCATCCTGTTTATTTGGTGACAGTAATTATGACAGAAAAATTTTCTCTATCATTGAAAATATTAGAAGTCAGTGTTAGCCTGACTCTTAAATAATTTTAAAGAGCATATTAGTTCTGATGCTTTCTTAAACTTACCATTTTTTAGTTATTTCAAAAACTGGAAATGATTATTTTAAGCCATTGTTCGTCATTGGGCAAGTTCCTCACTGGAAGTTATGATAAAGTTAACTTTCATCTTAGTAGGCTTATACACTGCAAAAATGGTATAGAAACAGTGGTGAAATCCATATGTTTTCATATTCTCCAGCTTGACTACAAATAGCATAGAGTTTATTTTGTGATTTAGATAATTTTGTCTGACCTGTGCTAACTGTAAGAATATGTCCTTAAAGAAAAAACACAGTTTTGATGCCTAGCACAATTTGGCAATTCTTAAAGAGTCCTACATAATAGAACAGAATAGCTTCTTCATCCAGGAATCGCTGTGGTTCTGTTAGGACATTTACCTGCCTTCCTTCAGCCTGTGCACTGAGGAGCAGGTACCTGAGAGTTTTGGTGGCAGAATCGTTCCTGCTCTCATTTGGATATAATTGCCTAAAGATATTTGAGCCATTATTCATATGAGCTTTCTTTAAGAGAGTAATCTGTAAGTACATATTGACATGTTGCAACTTCGATTCTTCTCAACTATTTTTAGTTTTTGGACACATCTCGCATATAATTTTGATTTTTAGATTTTCATTTTCAGTTGTAATAGTCAAAGGGGACTTAATAAGGAATTATTGTTGTCAGAGCATTCTAACAGGACATTTTATTACTTGTCAAATTAATCACTCATTGATTTTATGCTGCATTATACATATTTACTTAAAGAATATGAAAGTATCCTAAACATGTAATTTTATAAGATATGAGCACCTGATAACACATGCTCAGTTTTATAACCTCTTCACTAACATTGTTAGCTGTATAATTTGCCAGCAGAATTATAAAAAGATGTTTAATTCCTACTATCCGATTCTGGATGTGAGGAGCTTGGGAGTCACCAACAACTTGTCCTAACAAGTGAAAAGCTGAACAGACTGAAAAATCAACTCTTTTTGGATCCATAAAAGACAGGACACAGAGCAAACTGCTGCCTTTGAGACTGAGAGACAGACAGGCGAACACACGTTGCCACAGCTCACCAGAGCAGAGACACACAAGCAGAAACCACTACAGGAACCAGTGCTGGATTAGGAAAACCAGAACTGTAGTTGATGAATTGCTGGAGGCTCAGTGTGGACATGTCTGAGAGTTAAAGACTCCAGGGGTCTCCAGTCATAGAAAGACTCCCACAGTATCGTGAGATTTACCTCCAGGAGTTCAACCAGGTTCCCACAGTAAATATTGGAGAAAAATCTCTTCTGCTTCCAGCAGGAGGAGGGGGAAAGGAACCATTTTGAAATATACCAGAGCACTCTGTTCTTCTTAACAAGGCCTGACCTCAGGAGAAGCTAGTTAACCGAAGTCCAAACTGGGAGGGTGTCATCAGAGCCTAACTGACCTGGTGGAAGGGAAATGCTGAATGCTAGCTCCCTCTAGCCGTCCTGTCCCACCTATGAGGGGAGAAGAAAAACTGAGAAACACTTGTGAAATTCATAGTCCAGAGGCACAGGCTCATGAAAAGACTGAGAACCACAGAACTGTAGAATACTTCCCTTCTCCCTACATTGTTAACGGCCTATTTACAGCAGTTCCTTTTACCCGGTATATCATGTCCAGCTATCAAGAAAAAATTACAAGGCATCCTGAAAGGCAAAAAACACAATTTGAAGAGATAGAGCAAGCGTCAGAACCAGACATGGCAGGGTTGTTGGCATTATCAGATGAGGAATTTAGAACAACAGTGATTAATATTCTAAGCTCTCTAATGGATAAAGTAGCTTGCAAAAACTGACGGGCAATGTAAGTAGAGAAATGGAAAACCTAAACCAAAAAGAAATGCTAGAGATCAAAAACACTGCAACAGAAATGAAGAATGCCTTTGATGGGATTGTTAGTAGCCTAGATAGAGCTGAGGAAAGACATGTGCACTAGAGGAGGTATCAATAGAAATCTCCAAAACTGGAAAGCAAAGAGAACAATGACTGAGAAAAACAGAACAGAATATCCCAGGTCTTTAGGACAACTACTAAAGGTATAACATTTGGGTAATGGGAATACCAAAAGTAAAGAAAAATTCTGAAAGAAGTCAAAGGAAAAAATACCTTACTTACAGAGAAACAAAGGTAAGAATTACATCTGACTTCTCCTCAGAAACCATGCAAGCAAGAAGAGAATGGAATGGAATATTTAAAGTGTTGGGGAAAACCCCCACCAAACTGGAATTCTGTACGCTGCAAAATTATCCTTCAAAAGTGAAGGAAGTGGGGGCCAGCCACATGGCCAAGTGGTTAAATTCGCATGCTCCACTTTGGAGGCCCAGGGTTCACCAGTTTGGATCCTGGGCATGGACCTACACACTGCTCATCAAGCCATGCTGTGGCAGCGTCCCACACGGAAGAACTAGAATGACTTACAACTGGGATATGCAACTATGTACTGGGGTTTTGGGGAGGCAGAAACACAAAAGAGGAAGATTGGCAATGGATATTATCTCAGGGTCAATCTTCCTCACAAAAATAAAAGGCAAAAAAAAAAAAGTGAAAGAGAAATAAAGACTTTCTCAGACAAACAAAAATTGAGGGAAATTTTGCCAGTAGTCCTATCTTGCAAGAAATGTTAAAAGAAGTTTTTTAGAGAGAAGGAAAATAATATAGGTCAGAAACTCAGATCTACACGGAAGGAGAACTTCAAGAAGGAAGAAGTGAAGGTAAAATGAAGACTTTTATTCTTCTTATTCTTAATTATTTAATTGACAGCATTTCATTCAAAATAAAAACAACAATATATTCAGTCGTGTATGTTCATATATAAGTGGCATGAATGACAGCAATGATGCAAGGGGTGGGAGGGAGGCATTAGTATTATTTTGTTGCTATAAGGTACTCACAACACCCGTGAAGGGGTATAGTCTTGCTTGAAAGTGAGCTTGGATTATTTGTAAATGTATAATGTAAACTCTAGGACAACCACTAAAAAAAGAAGAGAAAAGAAGTATAAATGATGCTAAGAAAGGAGAGAAAATGGAATCATATAAAATGCTCAATGAAAACCACAAAAGGCAGAAAAAACAAGACAAAAATAGCAACAAAGAACAAGGGCAATAAATAGGAAACAGTAACAAACATGGTTGATACTAATCCAGCTATCTCCACAATCAATTTAAACATCAGTGGTCTAAATGCACCAATTGAAAGACAGAGCTTGTCACAGTGAATCCAAACACAAGACCCACTTGTATGTTGTCTACAAGAAACCTATTTTAAATATAAAGGCATTTACATTTAAAAGTAAATACATGGAGAGGGGCCGGCCCCATGACCAAGTGGTTAAATTCTCGCACTCTGCTTCAACGGCCCAGGATTTCACCGGTTCAAATCCTGGGTGTGGGCATGGCACCTCTCATCAGGCCATGCTGAGACGGCATCCCACATGCCACAACTGGAAGGACCCACAACTAAAAATGCACAACTATGTACCAGGGGGCTTTGGGAAGAAAAAGGAAAACTAAAATCATTAAATAAATAAATAAATATAAAAAGATAAAAGTAAATACATGGAGAAATATATACTATGCTTAAGCTAAACAAAAGAAAGCAAGAGTAGCCATATTAATTCAGACAGAGCAGACTTCAAAGGAAGGAAAGTTGTCAGGGATAAATAAGGGCATTGCATAATAATAAAGGGGTCCATTCTTTAAGAAGGCATGACAAGCCCTAATGTGTTATTGCCTAACAGAGTGTCAAAGTGCATGAAACAAAAACTAATAGAATTGGAAGGAGAAAGATGAATCCACTCTTGCAGTTGGAGTTTTCCACACCCCTCTATCAGAAATGGATAGATCCAGTGGGCAGAAAATCAATAAGGATGTAATTGAACTCAATAATTCTTACTCTCCTGGAAATGGAAAAAAGAAACTTAAGCAATGTTAGTAATAAAATATTTTTAAAATACCTGGGAGATGATTGGTATTTAATCCAACTTAACATATTTAATTTCTACAACTTACTATAATAAATTAATTCAAATTATTATTCTTTTTACCTTACTTTTGTTCTACAATTTTCTTATCTCTAAAGTGAGGGTGTGTTTCAAAAATAATTACACTGATTAATAATTTTTGCTTTCGGCAGCATTTCCCAAGAATAATAAACTTTCTAAATTCCCTACAAGACCCGGGAAGGAAAGATGAAAAGAGATAAGAAATAGATTACATTCATCGAATATGCGTTTGGAGGAGGAAATGTGTGTGATGCTAAAATATTTTCTCATTGATTTTGAGACAGGAACAGATTTGTGGAGAAGTAAACTTACATAAGCCATGGAAATAGCTGTGTATAACAAAGTAAAATATCCTATTTTAATGTTGCTGTCAGGATAATATTGTAAAGTTTTGAATACTACGTGATGTGGCAAGATTACTGTAATTTTGGATTGCATGCCTTAAAGTCAGCTAATTTCCTCTTTTACTCTACCATAAATTGGGAAATGTTTTCCAGGTACCTCCAGTGGGCGCTGTGATTTTGAATTTGATCTTTGCTCCTGGGAGCAGGAGCAGGATGATGACTTTGACTGGAATCTGAAAGCCAGCAGCATCCCTGCTGTAGGCACGGAGCCAGCTGCTGATCACACCTTGCGAAATTCGTCTGGTCATTACATCTTTATAAAGAGCTTGTTCCCTCAGCAGCCCATGAGAACAGCCAGAATTTCAAGCCCAGTTATAAGTAGAAGAAGCAAAAACTGCAAGGTATGGAAAAAACAGATATATTATGAGCAACTTCTGATGGATAGAGCCAAATGCAGAAAATGGAATGGCCAGGACCAGACCATTCATAAAGCTGAATTAATTCAACTTGGGATATGTGGGGGAGGGAGAAAGTAAGTAAGGATGAAAGAGAAGGATTGTTAGAACTGTTGGAAGAATTTATCCTATGGGTAGATTCTACAGATCTTGGAATTTTGGAAACCATTAGAAAATTTCATGGTTATTATCCATACCACTGGATAATATGAAAGAAATAAAATGCCCTACCATTTGCTTCTGCTCAAGAAGTTTAGTACATATTGGAATTATGAAAATTCCACCATCAGAAAAAATATTAAACAACAAGTAGTATACAGTTAAATATTTCCAAGAATTAATGGTAGAGATAGTGGGAACCACAATAAAATGTTGAAGAAGTTTTCATGGGAAAGGAAAGACTGAACTTGGCCCTAAAAAAGTAGAAGAATTTCTGTAGGCAGGAGGAAGTGATGGTTTGGTCATTATTCTGCGGAAAATTGAAGAAAGCCTTTGTAGAGTGTTAAAAGTCTAAATAAGGCTGTAAGGATCTTTGGGACAAACAGCTTCATATGATAACTATGTATTTGCAGGGTCCTCCACTTTCCTTTATTTAACATTTCCTTATTTATTTTATTCCACAAAGGATTTGAGTCAGCTAGGCTAGGAACTAAATTCAGGTTTACGTATAATATAAATTAAGCACTCAGAGATGACTTCCCAAAAGAATCTTGCTTAAGAGAGATTGATATGCAAATAAATGTGCCATTTATTTATATTTACAGTGAGAAATGCAATCTCCATAAGATCTGAACACATGAATTCTGAGTCGTGTGTCCCCCAAAGTTTGAGAACTGAACGGAAAGTGACTTACATCCAGAAAGTTACTAGCTGATCAAAGAATCAGGCTGGGAGATGATAATATGATTTAAATCTTTATTATCTTCAAATTGTAATAGTCTTGTGTACCTGTATCCACAATAGAAAGAGCCTTAACCCTGGGAAGGAGACATCTTAAACTTTTGCTGAAAGGCTCCCCACTTGTACCTGCATCTCTTACTGATGCCTGTTCCTCTGTTTCATACAGACCAGCCTTCACAGCCTACCACTCTCACAGCCTTAATACGTGTTCAACCTCTAGTTTCTCTGAGGAGTTCTTCTGTCTCACCTTAAGTAGATGTCGTAGTTGAATTCTCAGGAATTAATCTCATCTCTCTTATCTCTTCAGGCACATTTGATAGACAGGATTTTCTGCAAGAAAGTGACACAGTCAGATCAGTTTTAGAGAGAGAACTCAGTCAGCAATCTAGAATGGATGTAAAAATCATAAAGAGCTATGTTAAACTTTATTTAATTAGTTTGGGGAAAAAATGAGCTTCAATCACATTTATTTTTCTCTGTTTTTACTGTCTTCCAAATTGCTTGATAGTTTCTCAAAAATAAAGCCCAAACACACAAGACTTTAGATATGTTGAATCTATATAAAATCTATCTCTGTACATCCATAGATATTCTGAAAATTGTGAATTAGTTCTAGTCTTAGAAAGCTAATTAAAAATTAAACATGAAATGTATAAAATTCCAGTTTGACTTCTAAGCTTTTCTATTTAGACCTTTCCTCTGAAAATGTTCAAAAGATTTTTTTTTCATCCTGCAGTAACTAAGGATTTCATCCATCTCTGTTTTTCCCTGGTCCCAAAACTGTAGTCCCCACTGTTTTAAACGTGTGTGAGAATAATGAAGTATGCCTAGAGGAAATGTCAAAAAATTAATGATGAATGGTTCATTTTATGAATATTTATGATATAGATTTAATACGGAGAACTAAGTAAAGGTCATGCTGGGAATGATTGGGTCTCTCTTCTAGAAAATATGTTTATCAGGTAAGCAGAGTGACCTCCCAAATTTTCACGAAAATCCTCTCTGTCACTTGACCTTGTGGAATACCTTCAAGCAGAAAAAATCAAATTGGAGATTTTTCTTCCTTTTGAGGGGTAGAGTAGTGGGAGGGATGCAGACAGAGACTGATGAGGGAAAACCTTGAACCTCTGAGTAACTCTGAAGTTTCCAGTGAAAATGCCTCCTTAGAAGAATTCAGTACTTTGTAGATTTTTATTTGCTCAGGTTGCCCTGTGATAAGGTTATGTTGTCATCAAGTGTTCTTGTAGAAGTGGGGGTTTTTATATGTTTGTTTGCATGTGAACCTGCTGGTGACATTCAGAAAATGGCCTCAAGAAGATAAGGAAGTATTTGCAGCGACGTAAAACATATGCCTCATGTTTCTTGCACAAATAGGAAGACAAAACAAGGCAGAACACTGAGCAGGACGTGTCTGTGACTGCAAGGGAGCCAAACAGACTTGTGCTCTGCCCCTTGCATCATTTCCTCTTGTGTCTGTCAATGCTGCGCAAGAGGCTGCCCTAGACCCTTTTTTTTTTTCTCACTCCGCTCAGTTAGTTACTCAGATTTCACCAGTCCCCAGACAAGTCACAGTGGTCACAGAGCTCATGTTTTCCAACATTAATTGGTTAATCAATAGAAGAAACATTTTGGATTGTAGGATAATACCTGAAAGTTTCATCAGCTAGGAAATTTCAGTAGTGTCACTTCACATGGCTTACCTATTCTTGATACTCTCTGAAGTGTGCATTGCACATATTGGTTAATCACATTCTTTACCCTTTAAACACATTCATTTTTCCTTCTCTAGAGTATAATATCTATGACTGGTAGCTTTCCAAGCTGTCTTTTCTGTGTGAAGATCCACCATTACTATTTTCCTTCATTCATACAAATGACAAGACAAAAGCTTAAAAACACTCTGAATTCCTGTTGCTCCTAACCTGTACTGTTCTTTCTCCTAGAATTTTCCTGACTTTCCCCTTCTGCATAACAATCACTAAAAATCTGGCAAACTCCGTCCTTGAAACATTGACATGTTATCCCTGAAATTGCTTTTATTAATTTTTATTCAAGGAAAAACTCCCAAAGCTGCTCTTCTAAAGCATGTTTCTAGCATTTCAAGTAAAATTTGGGTAATTGCTGTTCTGGTGGTTTCGCTATATAGAGAGGAGCCCTGAGGAGCTTGTAGAACTGAAATGTGTTTCAAGTGCAAGAATGTGATGGAATAAGCAATAGAGTACTCTGCTATTTTGAAGAAAATGATTTAAGTTTCATGAGATTGAAAATGATCTTCTTTAGTCCCTGCTATTTCTTAATCATGAAAAGTCTTTTTATGTAACGAATCACTTATTAATGCTATTTTATTCCTTTGCCGGTAGACTTTAAGAGTTTTTCAAGGAATCCTGCCTTTAGAAGTCACAGAAAGAAAGTAAACTCTGCTCATTTTTTAAAATAAATTTCTGTTTGATCCCTGTTTTATGATCTTCCATATATTTCAACATTTGATGTAAGGCTGGCTTACTTCACTCAGTGTTGGAGTACTCACAGAGCAAGAGAGCACCCAGATCTAGCTTTCCTTCTGGAATCTGTACATAAAGGTGACGACAAGATGATGTAATTGAAAACAAGATGGAATTCATCGTGCTAATTACATATAATATTCCTCTTCTTGGTTACAGATAATTTTTCATTATCACATGTACGGAAATAGCACTAGGGCACTCGCCTTGGTCCAGGTATCAGTCTCAAACCAAACGAAGGTCCTACTGAACCTCACTGTAGAACAAGGCAATTTCTGGCATCGGAAAGAAGTATCACTGTCTAGTGATGAGGACTTCCAACTCAAATTGGAAGGGAGAGTCGGGAAAGGCCACGATGGGGATATTGCGCTTGATGACATTGTGCTTACAAAGAGTTGTCTACCATCCCATCACTCCTCGAAAGAAGAACTGGCAGTGCCTCTTCCAACAGGTATGTTTTAATTTGTGTTTGTTTGGTGTTTTTACAGAGCAGAAGGTTGGAAGGAAGGAAGGAAATGGAAAAGAAATGACATAAACGCCTAGTAACTAAGTGTTTTCATAAAGAAAAATCTTTTTGAATCTACAAACTTATCTTTTAAGCCTTTACTCCTAAAACTGTCTTTCAAATTTTCTCCAAGCTTCAGTATATTTACCAGTTCCTTAGTTGTCTGTTTAGTCAGCTTCTTTCTAGATCAATAAAATAAGAGAATATGGGTTGTTCGTAGTCTGGATTCAGAAGTCAATCCTCAACAAATGTCAATTCATTCTTAATAAAATATAAGAACGTCAAGAACAAACATTCAATTTTAATTAAACATTACTCTGATTATGCTATTTATTTTTTTAGACCAATGGGAATTCCAATTTTAATGGTTGAGTTTAAAAATATAAATAGTGTAGCTGATTGAATATGTCCATATATTCTTTTAACCTAAAAGTTTTTATAATTTGTCTGAAGAATTATATTAAAATGTTGAGTTGCTAAATGTTCAATATAATACACACAGTGATAATGTTGTAAAAAGTTCAAATAGCAAGATAATTAATCCATATATTAAAGATATGAGATGAAAATAAATGCAACATATATTATTAAAATGACAAAAGAGAAAATTTTGTCAGTTGAGAATATGACATATATTAATCTTTAAATGATGAGTTTAGTGTAGAAAACAAAAGTGCCATTCCTTTGGAATCTAAATTATGTCTCACAATTAATGAAAAAAAGTACTTTAAAAAGGATGAACTAATTTGTTTGTTCTGGCTTTTAGCATGGTTGGTAGAATGGGGAACACTGCCATTTCTGCCTTTATTTCCCCATTCATTTCAAAGGGAGTATTTTAATTTGGCTAAGAGGAAGTTTCTAGATAAATGTTCTCAGTTGACAACTAAACGTGCTCTTTGCCTTACATGTTTCTAGCACTATGTGGAATAATAGAGAGGAAAACAAAGCTTCAAGACTGTGAAGAGGGATAAGTATACTTATGTGCATTTAATGCAAAAGTGTTTCAGATACTTCAGACTAATCTACTGCCTTGAGAAAGGCTTTGCCTTCTATTCTGTGTAGAATATTTGGATGGCAGCTACATTAGCTCTTGTATAGGTCTGGTCTTTTGAATAGTAACTTTTTTATCATAATAAAAAATGACTCCATAGCATCCAAATAGTGAGGGAGCGCTATGTTGAACCAGTTCAAACTTCATTGAACTAAGTGGGATGCAAGAGGAACAAACCAATCTTGTTGGAGATATTAAGTTCCTAAATCTGTGAAATCTTGAACAAAGTTATTTTTTAAAACTTCCCAAGGGAAAATTAAAAAGCATCTACAAAGTGGTACAAATAATATATTAATTATCAAATTAAAGGCTACATATGAATAATGCTAGAGTTCTGTCCTTATGATATTTAATGTATTCTATTTAAATTTTGGATTACTAGAGAATAAGAGAATCCCTGTTGTTGAAAATATCTCAATATGGTGAGGAGGAATAGAAAAAATATCTCAAATAACTCTAATATCAGGTAGGATATAATTAAGTATCTGGAGAAATATGCAAAACTTTATGGGAATGCAGAGGAGATAAAGAGAACATCCAGTTGAGTGTATCTAATTTGAGACTTCTTTACAGGATGTGCAGGAGTTTAAAACCACACTTGGAGCTCATAGGAAGGAAAGATCCCTTCAGTTTGCAGGACAGGGGGGCCAAGAGTGAGCATGGTAGGACCAGATAAAGAAAGTTGTGGGAAGATCGCCGCAGGCAGGCCCAGGGCATGAGACAGAGTCAAGATGGGGTCCTGCCGACAGCAGAGGTGGACTGTCCGTGGGTAATTTGGCTGAAGCAGGCACCTCGTATAGTGAGTATCGGGGATAATATTACAAAGGAAACTGGTACCACCTTGAATGTGAATTTGTTTTAATTTGTTCCCCAAGCGAACATACCTTGAAAGTATGCAATAGCTGCAGTAGAAGGAATCCAAGAAAAAAAACTCCAAATGCCTTTATTTATCTCATTAGAAGCATCCTGCAAATTGAAGTGAAAGAATTTGTTTTCATAGCTATCTCAGAGGTGATGCTTACATTCAAATGCAGCAGATGAAAAATAAATGCCTATGGAGTTAGCATTCCTATCAAGTAATTGATGTACCTTGAACTGCTGCCAGAAACTAAAAGTATACACTTTTCTCCTGGTAAAAATGAAAAGCTAAACTTTGTTTAGACTCAAACTGTGAAATGATTCTGAAAAACGACTTCATTGTGAGTTCAGAGGACTCTGTCAGAGTCTCTGACATTTTAAAGGAAGGCTGTATGTATGTGTATATATATATATATATATGTATACATGTATATATTTGTCTGTATATATGCATGTATATGTATATATATGCATATTTATGAGTATGTGTATATATATTTTCTGAACAAGTAGAAACCAAACTGCTTTCTTTGATCTTCATGAAAGTTGGTGCAAGAGAGTCCAATGATATCACAGACATCTAATAGAAGTATAATGAAAGTCACAAATGTAAGCCACGTGTAATTTTACATTTTCTAGTAGTTATATTAAAAAATGTGAAATTAATTTAATATGTTTTCCTTAACTCAATGTAGCCAAAGTGTTATCAACATAAAAGCAATATACAAATATTAGTAAGAGATTTTACGTTCTTGTTTTCATAGTAAGTCTTTAAATCCAGTGTGTGTTTTACACTCACAGCACATCTGGCTTTGGATTAGCCACGTTTCAATTGCTCAGTGGCCGCTCGTGGCCAATGGCTCCCCTAGCAGACAGCACAGGAGATGAAATGAACACTGTAGGGCGCTTTTGGATCTGGGTCTGATAATGGGGTTCCACTAGTCAGGGAGAAATCTATGAATTCCCAAGAATTGCAGTTAGATTCTTATTTAAATAGAAGCACAAAAATGTATTCCAAGGCCAAATGTGAAAGCACAGGTACCATGTCCTGGTGGACTAGGTACTAATATTAGACTCCCTTCTTATTAGCTGTGTGTTACACAACTTCTCTGAGACTCAATTTCCTCATCCATAAAGCGGAGAGACTGTAACCTATTGTTTAGGTTCATAAGCTCTTAAGAATGAAGAGAGGTAATTGCCTATATAATTTGCATAGTCTAAAGTCTGGTAAATGATAGGCATTTATTCAATAAAAATTATCTCCTTTTACGTTATCCTATATTTTGGGCATCTCTACCAGTATTCCTTAGGGGGTACAGACATTTGAGAGTAAGCCTCCATTATTTGCATTTTATTAAGAACATATTTCTACCATTTGTTTCGGCAAAATTATTTTTCTTGCAGAGATCACAAGCATATAATTATTTTACATTGCGTTATAATCATTCAGTCTTATTTATTGAAAACCTCTATAATGCAATATTCTTGATGTGTCATGAATAATGTGTCTGTGTGTATCTTTGAAATGTTTAATGATTCTTAATTTCTCATTACTGCAAAAACATTTAACTTAGAACTTTCACAGATTGAAGAAGGATACATGGCATTGTGTTCCACAACCAGTGGCTAAGTTCATTAAACTTTTGGAAATGACTCTAGTTCACACAGACTTTTCATCTATATTCATGTGTGTAGGCTAACAACTCCATCAAAGATAGCTTAAAATAGAAAAGACAAGAGGAGGCAAAACACATATATTTAGGAAGATGCGGTTGAATTGAATCTGGAATCACAGATTCTAATTAGTCAAATAAGACCCAGGGCTTTATTAGCAAAAGTACTATTAAATTATTAAGTATCTAGAAGTTATATTTTAAGAGCTTATTTTGATGGCAATTTTGTTAATTGCCAAATGATGATGGATAAAAATAATTGTTTAATGAATTTTAATAAGAAAAAGACAACCAAGATTCCTCTTCTAAATGTTCATATGCAAATACAGCCACGATCATCATATTTTCTATATTATAAGCAGATATTTAATAAAAACTCTAAGTATGATGAAGACAAGGATCAGTCTTGTGTGTGTGTGTTTGTGTGTGTGTATGTGTGTGTTTTAAATCCCCACGGTTATTTCAAAATATAAGTTAGACAACAAATATGTTTTAGACTATAATGTAGTAATCAACTTTTGCTTTAAAAAATGTATGGAAGACAGTGGGGGCTAAATGCATTAGCTCCTTTTTGAGGTCACTCATTTCTCTGAAATATTTGGCAGTAGTTTAAAAGGCTGCTACCTACTAATGAAAATGCTGGCATAGCTATTAGGTCAGTGTCCTGGGCTAGGGAAATCAGGCTGGTTGTACTTGGCTCTGTAATTTAATGAACCCTACACAATGTTTAGTGTAAAGTGCATGCATTTGAAGTTTAAAGACATGAACTTGAATCTTTGCACTGCTTACTTCCCGTGTAATATCACCTGATCTACTTAACTTCTCTAATTCTTATCATTCTTGTCTGTAAAAATGGAACTATTGGCATCTTCTTCTGAGCAATATGAAAAGATTTGAAATAATAATATATAGTATATTCTAAACACTACTTGGCATATGGTCAGTGTTCCGTATATGTCATTTCCCTTTTTTTCTGCCAGTTCTTTTCCTTGCTGGGGAGATTATGAAATTAAACTGTGCATAAATTGAAATTTCTTAAAAGCATGTTGCATACTTGCGTTTTTCCTTCATGTTCCATTTATTGCTCAAAGCAAGGGTCAAGGCTCTTCCACCCACCCTGTTCCCTTCAAAGAAATTGCTCTCACAAAAGCCTCAAAACATCTAATTGCTAAATATGCTGCTTTCATTTATTATTCATAATAAGCAATGGAAAGGAAAGAAATAGTACTGGAATTCACAGAAATTGATGACTTGGTCGCGTATGATGGAGAAAAAGGAAAGAAATTCCTTTTAAATATACAGGCATATTCCTCAGAATGTTTTCCAAGTTAATGTCCCCCAGTAGAACACCTGTTGCTTTTTAA